AATAATTCCCGTTTTTCTAGCTATATTTACAAATAAAAATATTATTCATAGTGTAATTAGTTTTATTTTAATTAATTTTTTTCATTACTAAGGACTTATGGGCCACCCTGTATAAGTTGTCCTTATTAGTGACATACTGTAACGGTGAACTTAGTAAAAAATCCAATTATTAAAAGGAATTTATACAAAAGAAGTTAATAACTGCATATTGTCCACAGCGATTGTTTAGTGTATGCCAGTGAATAGCACGCCGTCCGTTGAAATAATGAACTTTTATTATTTAATGAGGTTCAGTTTTGTTTTGTATTTACGGTTCTAAACAGCTCTTCCCATCTAGACAAAGTAGCAATATTTCTATTAGTTATACAGTCTAAATTGTATAGAAATAACCTAAACTGTCGAAATGATACCAGTATTATGTGAATATTATACAATTTAAACTTTTTTGTCTCATGAAAATGAGCCTATGTAAATTCTATACAATCTAGATTTCTCATTAGCCATAGAATGTTACTTGTCAAGGATGGATCATTTAATTTTCACTTAAACAGTTAATAAATTTAATAGTTTTTCTTTGAAGTCATACGCTGTGTGAATGACAAACTTATCTTCTATTTGTCGTTCAATAAATTATGGCTCCTATCTAATCCAACTAAGTAGAGCAAAATAAAATATTAACTTGTGCTCTACTTTTTCGTCGGTAAATGGTACTGAATAGTCAAAATTAAAACTTTTACTGTATTCTGAGAAAAAATTAAGAGGTGACCTCTTTATGTCGCGATGGAAACACAAGTAGATAAAGTTTGTCCTGTCGAAGGTAGCGGGTAGAGATTAACCGCTACGAGGTCTCACGTCGAGTTCATCAATTATCCCTCACCCCCCACCAGGCGGCTGCCCTCAGCCAGCGTCTGAAGACACGCCTTCTCACATCTGCTCAGAGACGAGACCATTTGCACTTTGCGAATGATGATTGATCGAATCACAATACATTCGTTATCTGTAAGTAGATATATTAACGCTCCTTATGAGTGATATTGATATGCCTATTTGCATAAATAGAGCATCATTAAATCCGATGAAATTAATGATTTTATTGCCTATATTAGACGCTGATTATTTTTTCTTTATGTAAGCCATTTCTATGTAAATAATTTTATTTGAATATTTATAGAAGCTTATTAAATGAATATTTATATTAATTAAAATTCTTATTAGATTTTAAATAAGTGAGAACAAGATTACAAATAGGACTATAATTTAAAATTTGCAATTCTTAATTGTAATATAATATTATTTTTTATTATACATTGTTAAAATTTCTAGAAAAATAAATAAACTTATAAGAAAGAGTGAGTCCAAATAATTCCCACATAAACCGGAAAAACACGCACGTCCGTATCGTAAAACGTGCAGTATAAAGCGAGTATAAAACAGCTGGTGGTTAATACATTCAATTTGTTTTAAACGATGGAGCACCAATCCTGTCATAATTGTGCAACGACAAACAATGCAACAGTGGTCACTGTTCATTGGCGATTGAACAAGTATTGCATCCAGGACAGTAATTTGTGTATTCAATAAACAAATGCTGGATATACAAATCGGATTAATAATGAACTAAATCTATAGAGTGGTAGATCAATTTAAACATACGCTCTAATTAAAGGAAAAACAATATGCAATCGGAGTAAAGCAACTTCTTGTAGATAAACTTTACAATTAGTTTTAGATTAACTTACTACTAGACGATTTACTTACAGTGTAATATTTATTATTATTTTTTTATACAACTTAGAATGGCAAATAAGCTGACGGCCCACACTATTTAGCAAATATGCACTTACTTTTGTAACTAATACAAGTCATTCAAATAAATTAATTGAAAAATTAAATTGTTTTCAAATTCACATTTACTTAAGGGTAGGATATTCCCAGTAATGTGGATTAACGCTCCCTTTGCTAGCAATATAGTAGATCACATCGATCTTTACGCGGCCCTTTTCTTTTAACAATAGTGTTTAATTCTTGGTGAATTCATTACGATAGGTCAATAGACGTAATTACATCTTAACTTATTATCTCTTTATTATTATTAAAAATATTATGAATTAAAAAACACGAAGTATTAAGTAATTTAAGATGTTGTTTTTAATTACTATTATATTAATTACAGTAGAATTGACATGGTTTTTACTTATTGACTTACTATTACAATAAAGACGTAAAAATTAAAATGTGTAAGTAAATGGAAATATTAAAATAAGTCAAATATAAAAGTATTACATTTTCTTTTTCAATTGGGACCATTATTTATGGCTCTCAAAATATTATTTAAATATTGTAATTTGAGTGGCCAAATACTGGAATTCGAGAAGGCGAATTCAAATGCTACGACCTTTCTCCTCTAATGGATACCAAAGACCTTCGCCGTTTTTACTTGAAAAATCTTTTGGAAAATGAATGAATCCATACCGTATGTAAATCGGACGACGTCGAAAGTTTTTATTGAAAAACTTGAAGAACTGATGAAAATGGGGTTGCGACGTTAAGATCTCTCCGTTCATCTTATGAATGTGATACTGAGTTCAAACCATTCTAACTTTTAAATAAACTTGTGTTTTATTTATGAAGTAAAATTTTATATTTTTTATAACAAATTTTATTTATTCATGCCATAAAGTGAAAGAATACATCAATTAGCTATATCAAGAGACTTCATTAAAATTTAATATAAATAGATATTACAAATTCAGTTAATAATTTGTCGTATTTATACTCGAAGGGTACAGTCATAATTAAGTTATTTAAGATTAATTAGAGACAAGTCGGGTGGCACACAGCATTCGTGCGAAGGTCGGACGGCAGAGAAGCGGAGTGCGGAGTGCTTGAGTAATTGATAAAGCTAACCCTTTCACCCTTAATCACGGTTAACTTAAAGCTTAGTGTAAGAGGTATATATTTATTAAATTATCAATGAAATCGTAAACTCTTAACTTTTAACTATTTGGAAGTGGGGGGCACAGGTGCTGTTTCACCGCAGTTATAAATCTTTTGTAATCTTAGACTTAGACTTGTCTTTTTGTGTCATTTTTGACGTTAAGTTTTTAAGTTATAAAACATGGGTCATTATCCTTTTGATTTTACGAAAAAGGCTGGAAAAAGATGATGAAATGTAATATTGGAAAATTAACGACTGTTCAGAAGGCTAAATGAATTTGAATTAAATTTGGTACATAATGGATTGTATCTTGTTTTACGCAAATAAAACCATGCGTAATAGCTATTAATTAATAAAGAAATTTGCTGTTCCTGGCATAGAATAGGCACCTCTTTCCTTTCCCGTGTCGTAAGAGCCGACTAAAAGAGGGCGAGGGATAGATAGTAGCGTCCCTCTTAAAACATCTCTAAAGGCTGACTACGGTTCTTAATCCGCTTGCCAAGCGTGGCAACTACTGGCAAAACCCCCCAAGAAGGGGCTTATGTTCAGCAATGGACAGATAAAGGCTGATATGATGATGATAAACAAAGAAATGACAATTCTAACCAGAAATATAAATAATATTGATAGATACGTTTTTGTATTTTCTCACTATTTCTACAAGGGATACTTTTTGTATATAGAGCTGACAAACATTATGCCAGTTTTTATTATTGCAGTTACATCGAAATTAATTCATAAGAAATGCTTTACCCAATCACCCACTTTGTTATATCATCGTAGACTTAATGTTGATGCTAACTTTCAAATTGACTTCTTTTCTGTTAATTTCGGTAAACAAATAATGTTACGTTTGTTAAGATTTTTTTCATTTGATGTTTCATTTTCAATTAGTTATTTTATTGTCCTTATGTTATTTTTTTATAATTAAGTATGGTCTATGAACTTTTTTTTTAATTAAATGGAAATAATCCAACAGAATAAAAGCCGAAAATTGAAACTAATGTTATCTGCTTTTGCTAAATGCATTTTGTTGGCTAGAGATTTCATTTCTATTGAATTGTTGTTGAAATAAAGCGTCTTGAGTCAGGTTGCCTCTGTGACTTATATTAAAAGCTCTCTTACAAATTACTTTCAATTTTATTACAAGTGTATGTAAATAGTATGATCTAATTCTATATAATTTGATCAATTAACGGTCTGTTTAATGTTCATAGGACGTCACGATCTCTACCAAATATAGGTATAAGTGTTTAGAGAAGTCTAACTTAATTTTCAGGTTAAATATCCTTGATTATTTCTTATTTTGTCAATACCCCTCTTATAGCTATTTTGCTCAATTACGTACTACAGAATTCTCAGGAGTCTAATAACTAAATAATAATATCTGAAAATAGATAAGAGGATAGTATCAAAATATATTTAAATACTTGAGAATTGATATGTACTTTTTAGTCAGTATGTTACAACATTTCTAACTATTCTATTTGCTCTCGTAACTTTCTAAATTAACATCCATTGAGATAATAATAGAAATGTCATAAATTAGTTTGGGCTTGTTTCGCCAATGACGTTGTGATGACTTGTTTAGAATTCCTTCTGTAATTTACAACGCACTCTACTGCCGTGACTCATACATAGCTATTTATTAATAAATTGTATACAAAAAAATAAACTGCTGACTTCCTTTCGCGTGCTTACAAACATAAAAGTTCCTCATGCGTATCCTAACGAAAACATAAATTAGTTAAATTTATTGTGCCTTATAGAAGGCATCCCCTTCATTACAATATGTTCGTAATGACACCGAGGGTCAGTACTTACGTAGTCAGATCGAAGTTGTGCAGATCGACAAAATTATAATAAAACTTTTTAAGTTACAACTTTTCTTTAAACGAGCGGAGTAAGTGAGCTTTTTCATTCGTTTAGAGATTTAGTAGTAGAACCATTTTGTGCGTTTTCCATCCTTATCTAACGTAACGGGTCTAAAGTCAAGGGGCAGAGACAGAAGCGAGCTTTATACAAGTGACAGGCGGTGTGTAGAGCAGCGGGTGTGCCGATTTCAGGCAGGCGAGTCTGTCTCGCTGTGCCGATTGCCGAGGTGAAGCGAGTGAGCGCCAGTCTGCGCCGCTCGGTTAGTATCAGTCTTCGTCACGGCGATGCCGGTGGCGCACGTGGCGCCGCTCGCAGACAACAATACGTTGTGACGATCGCACCGATACTTCTTTCCCAACTAATAAATCAGCCGAGTCGTACGAAGTAACCCCACCAACAGATTATAACTCGATATGAGATAACAAGCTCGCGGCACGACTCCGGTCATTAATCACTAAGTCCGTTCAACTCGAATGATTGGAACGGAAACGTAATCTTACAGTTTCCATTTAGGATCGCGTAATGTAAACAGATAAACATTGTTGAAGTTTTCCGGAATCGTTTGTTGACTAAAGGTTACAGTAGATCTAGGTGCATTGTATGGACCATTGTTAGGCAATAATGCCGTATAGGCCCAGGGGTACTGTGTAGTCGATTTGCGTGTGTAAAGTGGATGTGAGCGGACAAGTAGAACTGGTGGAGAAGCATGGGCGCCGTAGGGCAGTGGACGGCTGGCGTGCTGTGGGCCGTGCTAGCGTCCGTGCTGGCCGATTCCTGGACCGCTTACCAGGAGCAACCTTGCTGTCGTCCTGTTACACATCATCGTGTCAGACATCATAGAGGTGAGTCATATCTCGTTAATGTGTGTTAGCGGTTTGTCATGTATGTAGGTATTAAAATTTATTCCGTTTAAATGTATGTAAATATCTACTTCTAAAAACTTAAATAACTTACTTGGTAAAAAGAAATATGATTAATTTTAATTTCCAGTAAATTTAAATATTGTTTTTGAATAGATATCAAAGTCAAAATAATAATAATAATAATAATAATTCTTTATTTAATAACAATTCACACCTAGTTACATCTACTAGCCACCGAACTAGGCTGAGCCTGTATCTCAGTGGTTAGTTAAAAACTTCCTTTGACTTAACATAAGACGGTACAATCTAAAACATAAATACACTCATTTGCAATGTTGAATTTACTTTTGGTGCAACATTGTTAAATAATAATAGAACCCAAACATACAATACCTATTTTAAATAAAAGGGAAATGTCTACTTGTAGAATGGTGATGATTCATTCATTAATAATGATAATAACTACCAGTTACAAAGACAGAAACCAGTGAAATTACTTATATGATATTTAAATTTTTAATTATATACTTTTTGTTAAATACATGAAAGTTTTGTAAAAAAAATGATAAAGATGTATAAATACCCACATCTATCTCTACATTTTTCCTTTACCAGGCCCTCATGAATCAAAAATGTCAACTGAAGTTTATGATCACAAATTACACTGGGACGCAGTCTATGAATTTGTCACGGCCGTACATTAATTACGAATCGATAGAGACTTTTCAATGTTCTCCAAGTATTCCCCTTACGTACTTTCATAAGTAACTAAAATATTATTATGATATGATATCTATGATATAACTATAGTTTCTTCTTCTAAAATATCGGTTGGTAGATAGTTTATGAAAGTTATGTCCCATGTAATATATGATAGAGTCGCTGTAACACGCGAACTAGTGTTTATTTTTCCTGTCGATTCACCGGCCGGAACTATCAAACGGAGTCTACGCACGAAATAGCTAGGTATGAGTAGCAACGTGTTGACAGTCTTATGAAAGGAATCATATATTGTTATATTAGCATTAACAAAATGTACTACTTTGTACAATAGGACTTGTCTATTTCCTAAATTTATATTAGACACTTTTAGAGGCAGTAATAAATATTTCAATAGCTTTATATATTTGCATATTAATAAGAAAGAAAGTAGGGTTTTCATAGTATTGACAACTGCCACCATAATACTGAATTCTATCCTAAAGTAATTCATTTTCAGACCGAAATATTTTTTAAAATGCGTAGGTAGGATGATATTAATTGAATAATATCTGTTTTCATTGAAAAAATATAAATTTTAACTAATCAATGAAAAAAAAATTGGTGTATTATTACAATTTTTTAATTACAATTTTTTAGTACGAGAATTTTATCTTAAAGATGTAAATAATACAATATGTATAATATTTTAATAATAATACAATAAGAAAGAAAGGCTACACTATAAGACTCAAAGCATAAAATATAATTTTTTTGTTAATTAAAACATTTTTGATGACAGACGTTAAAAGGACATTTGAACTCAAAATGTTGCTGATACTTGATATGTAAAAAATAGACAATAATAATAATAATAAAATAATATTAAAAACTAAGGTTTTTATTCATAACTATGAAGGTATGTGTTCGTTTGATATTTCAAGTGATATTTAATAATTAAATATTTTAATTTTAGCCAACGACTGCTTCATAGAAAGAATTCTTTTAGGCCATAAAATATTTAGGTGACAAAGGGACAATTCAACGTCATTAACAAGTAGGTAACAAGCATTCCCCACTGACACGTCCACATAAAAAATGCTCACCACCATATTAAAATGTTCCGTTGAGCTATTATCATATGGCCATTCTTGAAATAGAATAGCCTTCATATTTTGTCGTGACCAATAATATTTTATATTATTGTTAAACTCGTGTAAGGGTGATAGTAATTTACTACTTTGCATTACCCATTGTAATTAGGTATTTAGTTAGTTTATAGAAAAAATGTACAGTAAGGTTTTATTTATAGTTTTAAAAACAAATCAGCCAAATACGTAGTCAAAAGGTCTATAGCCACCGTGTATAACAAGAATTCGTTATGGAGCTTTGCAAGAAGTTTGAAGCAAAAAATATATGTATAATGGGCGATGGGTTCCACCAGACCGATCAGGGGGGCCGATGGCAGGGAGGGGAAGATCACTGCAAACCGGCTCCGCGTGCGCTCGCGCAGGTAATTGACTCGGCCATGCGAGTCTTGGCTAAATTAAGTTATAAACAAGTTAATATAATCGGGCCATAAGCGATGCTCGACAGTTTTATTATATCGTTGGCACTACATCATTCCACTGGAATTTTCTAATAATGGCTCTAAAGATTAGACTTACTATTAATAATATAGGTAGTTATTTCATTGTGTATCGTTTGTTAAATTTTGATGTCTCTACTATAGGTACAATAAAATGCAATCATCACAAGTTAAATATATTTCCTTTCTTGGTTACTATACTAAATTGTTTTCTTTCACACATTCGATATAATACATAAAATTATTACATATTTACACCCACCGGAACACTTACATACATACATTTCAAATATTTCACTTATGCATTTGCCTAGACACAGATAAAATAATTCTATGTATAGGCGCAATAAAACCCATCTTTCATGGGGAAAAGAGATTGTTAGTAATGGGGTCTAACAACCCCATTGCTAGTAATATACCCTATCAGGTCGACCTCCACGCGGTTCTCCTTGGAAATCATCGTGGCTAATTATTGATGAATTCGTCACGACGGGCCAACTGACCTGCTACATTCCCACCTATCAACTCTCACTGGTGCCCCGTCAGCGTATACTGATAGCGCAGACAGGGTTACCATTTCATCTTCACCCATTAAAAAAACATCTTTCATTAGATACGTTTACTATTTGTCAAGAGGTGCAGAATTGTTCATGATAGCTATGTAAAGGGCACCTTCAGTAGTGAACAATTTAATTACGTGATATTTTAATTGTGAAATAAAATTAAAATTTAATAAGTTTATTGTGAGAAGGAATATAGTGCCTGATGTTTCGCTGTTTAATTATTGTTTAGGATAAAAAATTTGAACTTACATACTTTTGTCGTAAATATACCATCACTTAAATAAAATAATATTAAAAATAATAATGAATGTTCACATCGACTTGGCGTGTGGTCCGACATCGCCGAGAGGTCGAGCAATCGTTCTGACAGCGGCCGCCGCTTGATATTATCGCTTTTTAATATAAACCTACATATTTACCATGAGTTCTATATAAAGAAAGGTAGTAGACACCGCTATTTTTATGTTAAATATTAAAAAAAGAAAATTTGAACTTGAAAAATTGTGTTAATTAGATTCATTTGCAGACATCGTCAAAAGTTTAACAAGCATTGATTTAACCTGATGTTATAGATACCATGAAGTAAGCCGAATAGTTTTCCTTTTTAAAAGTTACGGAAGACTTGTTATTCAGAATTGTAGGTTTTAGGATTTGTGTATTAGGCATACACAGGCACATATAATAATATAAACCAAACAGAATTACGGATTACCAATATTATCTGAGAGTACATATCATATTATATACTATGTATTATTCTCATTTGCGTGTATATTATTGTATAATTTATCTTATATATGTGTATATAAGTTCCAATTTACATTAATAATATTTGTAAAACGAGTACTTAAATATTTCTGCAGATTGGTTGAGCTTCATTTCTACAGGAATGAAGTAAGTTTCTATAAAACATTTGTCGAGTAATTTCAGTTATATCGCCTCGCAATTTCGAACAGCGTTGTCGTCTCTATAAATTGTACCTTTTAACGACTTAACGTCTTTAGAAAGTCGTATTGTAGGCTATGTTATTGTTGAGTTACCGTTATATTTACCTATCTATGGAAATAGGAGTATAGTAGAACGACGCCAATATCGCACTAGAGTCGTGTAGGGATTTCCTTGTAGTGTAAACGAGCTTTATTGGTCATGTTACCTCGGCGTCGCGTCGCAAATACCTTCACCGGAGCCTTGTAAACCGAACCGACAGACATACGTTTCGATTGACTGACGAGGCTTTAAGTGCTCTATCTGTAGTAAACCTCTTCACAGACTGAACTGTAATTGTGAAGCGCTTTGCTACAGATTTGGTAACAAATACGTAGTATCTAGGTACAGTTAACAGTAGATACCTACTATTAAAGCTTTAACTCGAAGCTACATTGCTCTTACTTATTTTTAATATCTAGCTAAGCTTGTCAGTATAAATATACAATGGAATGGCCAAACTGTATTTTATGATCCATTTAACTGATTTTGACAAAACGAAATAGTATTATTCTATTAGATTATACTATTTAATAGTAGTAAAAAGATTAACATGATTTCAAAATATCTCAGATTTTAGCTTCTTTAACAATTTTTTGCAATGACTATATTATTGTGAAAACATTATTTAAAAGTAATAAAAAAATATTTATCGCAATAATATGCCATCAAAATAAATTAATCACATTAGAAATAATGAAAATAATATGATGCCGATGTGACTGAATATGAAATATCCTGATCCATCGCTTACAAGATTGAAGTTTTGCATAGATATTCCAGCTACAAATGATGATGGATATATAATCTTAGAACTGTATCTTAGAAATGGTTTCTGAGAACGGTTCCTCTTTAGTATCTAACTTATGATGTACTATATGTTTAGTTATAGATAATTCTAGAGGTATTTGTTGTTATTTGATATTTACACAGGGTGAAGTGGAAATGATTGGGGGGAAAGGGATTCTTACTAATGGAAACTAAAAGTTCCATTGCTAGCATAATACCCAACTAGGTCGACCTCCTCGTGGTTTCCCCTGGAAACTATCATGGTTAATTCCTGATGAATTAATCAAGTTGGGCTAACTGGCCTGTTTCCATTCTTATCGATCACCTTTCACTGGTGCTTCGCCAGCGTATCCCGT